AATATACAGGGGTCTGGGGGATATCTACACCGGGAGGGCAATATACACTGGGAGGGCAATATGCACCAGGAGGACAACATACACTATGAGGGCAATATACAGGGGGACAGGAGGAATGTACAAGGGGCAAATATACATGGGACAGGAATATGGGGGAAATACAAGGGGAGCAGTGAAAGGCTAAAGGGTTGGGGCACAATTCAGGGGTCGAGGGGAAAGTAGGGGGTTGGGGAATATGCAGAGGCAGGGGATTTAATGGGGAGAAATGGGAATTTAGGGGGCAGATATACAGGGTAAAGGAGAAGAACATACCAGGGGAGGAGGAATAAACAAGTAGGGGGAATAAAAGGGAACAGGGAATATGGGGAAATCAGGAAATACGGAGGAGGAAATACGGTGGGGGGGGGACGGGTGGAAAATATGAGGAGGGGGGCCTTCAGGGAATACAGGGAGGGTGTAATTTGAGTGGTCTACAGGGTGGTTAGAATTGGGGGAAATATATGGGGAGGGGAGATTATACTTGGGAATAGAAATGTATGGGGGAAAATACAGGGAGAGGGAATATACCTGGGAAAGGGAAATATATGGGAATATATGGAGGAAGGGGGGCAATTGGGAATATATACCGGGGGGCAGTGAGAAGGGCAAAACATACAGGGGGTGGGGGGAGAATTGGGCATTGACCAGGGGAGGAGTTATAATGCCAGGATGGAGGGGGAATTTTACCATTGGAGGGAATATCTATTGGGGATGAGGTGTTTGGATTGTTTCAGCTGCTGTGCTAGAATTTGTCACAGCTGTCAAAATACAGCAGAGTTTTCAAAGCAGGTCACTGGATGTAGATTGACCTAAAGTCTTCTCAGTGAGATGTTCTCGATAATGTCATGGTAGCATTTGACTGCGAACCCAAGCAAAAATTGAGTCAATGGGAATCAGGGGAAGACTCTACACTGGAGAGAAACCTAGCACAGAGGAAGATAGCTGCGGTTGTTGGAGGTCAGTTATCTCAGCTCCAGATGTCTCTGCAGGAGTGCCTCAGGATAGTGTCCTAGGTCCAGCCATCCGCAGTTGCTTTGTCAATGACCTCTCTTCTATCGTAAGGTCAGAACTGGGAATGTTTACTGATGATTGCACTGGTGCCTCCTCAGTTACTGAAACAGTCCATATCCAAAAACAACAAGACCTGGACAATATCTGGGCTTGGACTGACAATTGGCAAGTAATATTCACATGACAGGTGACCACCTCAAACAAAAGAGGTTCTATTCATATGCAGTTGACATTCAATGGTATTACCATCTCTGAATCCAGTACTGTTAACCATTGACCAAAAATTCAACTGGACAAGCCATATAAACGCAGGGGCTACAAGAGCAGGTCAGAGGTTAGGAAAACTGCAGCAACAACTCACCTTCTGACTGCCCAAAGCCATCTAAAAGGCACAAGTCAGGAGTGTGATGGAATACTCCCTACTTGCTTGAAACAGTGCACTGTAATTTCAACAACACACAAGAAGTTTGACACCATGCAGGACAAAGCGGCCCTTTTAATTGGCACCACGTCCACAAACATTCACTCTCTCCATCACTGACACAAGATGGATTGCAGAAATTTAAGTCTCCTTAGACAGTACCTTCCAAACCTACAGCCAATTCAATCGAGAAGGACAAGGGCAGTAGGTACATGGGAAAACCACCACCCCTCCAAGCCATTCAACTTGGAAAATGTCGCCATAGCTTGTCAGGTTCAAAATCCTGGACCTCCCTCTCTAATGACATTTTGGGTGTACCAAAACAGACTGCAGTAGTTCTAGAGACAGCTCACCACCACCTTCTCTCGGGCAACTAGGGATCAGTAATAAACACTGGTCCAGGTAAAGAAGGCAAGCTCGTTCTTCCCAAGAACATGAATGAACCACTTGGGATTTTGTGGCAATCTGGTAGCTTCAAGGTCACTTTCCCTGATTCCCCTTTTTTATTGAGAGATATTAAAGGATGCCGCTGGGAATAGAGGGTTTGAGTTACACGTAGATGCTGGGTAGGTTGGGAACTTCTGTCCCTGGAGGTTAAGGGGTAACCTTATAAAGGTCTATAAAATCATGAGCGGTATCGATAAGATGAATAGCAGGTGCCTTTTCCGTTTGACGGGGGATTTCAAGACAAGGCGGGCATATTTTTAAGGTGAGAGGAGAAAGATTTAAAAAAAGACATGAGGGGCAACTTTTTTTTGTACACACAGAGAGTGATTTGTGTGCAGAATGAACCTCCAGAGGAGGTGGTGGATTCGGGTACAGATACAACGTTTAAAAGACATTTGGATAAGTACATGAATAGGAAATGTTTGGAGGGATATGGGCCAAGCACAGGCAGGTGGGACCAGTTTAGTTTGGGTACATGGTCGGCATGGGCTGGTTGGACCTAAGGGTCTGTTTCTGGGCTGTATGACTATATGTATGACTAAATCCAAACTCTTCCAGTTTGCTGTTGATTCAGCCTCCTGATGTGTAGCCCAGTAATGAAACTTTTTTCTAGGCGTCAAGATAACCAGTATTAGTAGAGGTTGAGCACAGAGGCACTGATCCCACATATACTTTCCAGTAGCTGGACTGCGCTCAGCAATCTAGAAACCTGGCTCTCTCTCACCAGAGGAGGAGAATGTTATCAAACTTTGCCTGTGTCATCAGAGCTGTGGCAGAGCCCACTGGTGGACAATAGCTTCCACTGCACCATAGACAGTAATTTGCAGCCAAGTCCTGTTCTCTCAGCCACAATTACAACACTACGTTGCCAGCAGAAAGGAATAAACAACAGGGACAGGCCAATTAGTAAAAATAAATCATCCAGCTATATCCAGATTGCTTTAGTTACGAGCAGCGCAGGCACGAATGAGGAATGGGTGTTGGATTATAGGGCAGTTTATTTTCCACAGCCCGCTGAGAACTTTGAGTTTTGCTTATGTCAGCTTGCTAACTGGTCTTAACCGTGGTGGTGAAGTAGACTGATTCTTTCCATAACTGAGACCCTACAGGAGCAAGTCTATCGGGTTATAAGTCATATGTCAAGGCATTTTTGCAGTGCCACACCCATTAAATGGTTTCTCTTGCAGTTATACCATTGTGACAACAAGGAACACAATTGTAATCATCAATAGAAAAAGCCCTTCTAGTAGTTATTTTTCCCCTTTGAGGGAGTGCTGCACTGTCATAGGTGCTGTCTTTCAGATAAGGTTAAACTGAGACTCAGCCCGTCATCTTAGGTAGAATCCATGACATGACTTGAGAAAGTTCCCCACAGTATGCTGGCCAAAATCTATCCTTGAACTAATACCAAAAACAGATGGCCAGCTCATTAGAGGGAAGCAGGATAAGTACAAGCAAGTGAAAGGCTGCACTGTCTGGCTAGCTGACAATTTCCAGCACTTCCTCAATGAGTTATTTCAAGTTTTACTGATAAACTCTGAAGGAGGGTGATAAAAGGCTCCTAGAAAGCATAAACACTGGCATGGATCAACTGAACCCACAGTATGACACATTATTTATCACAATATCTAAGGCTGGTTGTTTCACTGTTATTTGTAAAATCTTGCCGTTGCTAAATTGGCTGCTATGTTTCTTACGTCACACTCAAAAGTATTTCATCAGTAGTGAATTGCTTTGAGGGTCCTTTAGGGCACTAAGTGCAAATCTTTAGTTGTTTCGCAGCAAGTCCCATACTACAATGTTATTTGTGGTCAATGACTGAAGGAAATGTCCTTCTCTAATGTGAAATAGAGTATAACTTGTCCACATTGTTTCCTTTACGATGATTTTGTGGTCCATTGTCAGTCTCAGATTGATGACAACAAATGCTTTCAAGGCAGGCAAGCAAGAGAAAGGAACATCACTTAGTTATTTGCTGAATCTTGCTGCCCAGCACATCAGATTGTACACGGCTATCTGCTATCCTGAAATGAGCCACTAGTCACTGTCCAGGGCTGCACATTGATTGGGTGGATGTTGGTGTAGGCTGATGGGGGCAAAGAGACTGCTGCTAAAGCAAAGTTGGCATCAGATGAAAAGCTAAAAAGAATGGAAGTTTTCTACCTTCAAGTCACAATTCCATAAGGAATACAGTCCTACATCAAAGGAATAAAGAGAAGTGACACAGGAGAAATGAATACAGTGTTAATTTCCACTTGCGTCAACGGTTGAACGAAATGAATTTTTCCCTTTATTCATTCACAGGATGAGGGCATTGCTGGCCAGGTGGCATTTATTGGCAATCACAAATTGCCTAGAGGGCAGTTAAGGGTCAACCACATTGGTGTGGGTCTGGAGTCACATGTAGGCCAGACCAGGTAAGGATGGCAGTTTCCTTCCTTGAAAGACATTAGAGAACCAGGTGGGTTTTTCCCGACCATTGGCAATGGATTTATGGTACAAAACTTAGAGCCTGTATCAGTACATGGGACTATGATGCTGTGGCCATTACAGAGACTTGGTTGAGGGAGGGGCAGGACTGGCTGCTCAATGTTCCAGGGTTTCATTGTTTGCACAGTGGCTCAGTGGTTAGCACTGCTGCCTTACAGCACCAGGGATCCGGGTTTGATTCCACCCTTGGGCGACTGTCTGTGTGGAGTTTGCACATTCTCCCCATATCTGTGTGGGTTGGCTCCGGTTTCCTCCCACAGTCTAAAGATGTGCAGGTTAGGGTGGATTGGCCATGCTAAATTGTCCGTAGTGTTCAGGGATGTGTAGTTTAGG